AAGAAGATTCCTGGCCCTGAGGTGGGCTGTGGAGCAGCTGAGGCTGTGAGCGTGTGGCCCAGAGATGGTTGTGGAAGGGTCAGGGAAGGACGAGGGTGCCTGGTGTGTGTGACTGGGACAAGAGGCTTCATAGGCTCTTTAGCTGCTGCTTCGGCTTGTTCTGACATCTTCAAGCAGGTCTTGGTTTCACACGGATTGTGAAAGTGTTTACAATGAAGTAAATGTGAATATTAATCTTTGGATTAAATGGGTTTCCTCTTCTGAGAATTGTGCCTGGAACGGTGCCAGGGACCAGCCCCACGCGATGCTGCCAGGGGTTGCACACCACATGTCTGTAAGGTGCTGCCTTTGTCACCTGGGGGTACAGAAGTTCAATAAAATGATGTTAGAGAGGAACTTTCAATTCTTGCTCCTGTTGAGCTTTCTAATCCAACTGCAATTCTGCCTATTTCTGGACAAAACTCTTTAGAAATCAGGTGTAGTTTGCTTAGTAGAGGCTTTTGATTGGAAAAGCCCAAACTTTCTGAATATTCCCCTTCAACTTGGCCAGCAATGATGATTTAGGGCTGCTGTGAGATACTGGGTGCCAGTGGCTGAGGTGGAGGCAGGGAGCTGGTGCCACCAGTGACCACACAACAGCCAACATGCATCTGATGGGTCGGGGGCAGAAGCTGATGTGTAAGATGGTGGGATGAGGGCCTCTTGAAGATGTCCCACGTGGGAAATGAATCTGGATGTTGGGTTGAGATGGACTGCATCAAATGAAGGTGGAGCAAGGGTTTGAGGCTTGGGACCATGACTTGGTAGGGGATGGTGGTGTGGGTTATGGTCAGCATCAGGAATGGCTTGAGAGAAGAGTAGGACAAACTTGATGAGACATACATTCCTGTCTTCTGCTTACAGTAGAAGCTGCAAATGTACATGCTTTTCTCCATTATATGGACTAGCACATGTAATAAAGCTCTAAAAAATACTGACTTAAGTCAGTGTCAACAGTCTTCTGTGATTCTTTGGATATGCATCCCAAATCTTTATACTCATTCCATCAGATAGTTCCTTTACTGTAAGAAAATGACAAAAAGTCTTCATGTGTGGTCTTTGTAAAGATCATGGGAAGACTCAGGGCAGAGAAATAAGACAAATTTTGACTAATAGGAAGAGAATTGAAGCTCTGTCCTGAGGGATCTATGTGCAATGCACATCAAGATACAGGAGCTCTCAGGTAGACACAGTGTTATTTGAATGTAGCCTTCAGAATTCTTGGAAGCTTGGAAACCTTTTAACTAGTCTCTAAAGTTTCCATGTAAAGAGCAAAGTAGTCACTTTCTGATGGAGTAATTTCAACATGTAATGTAAGAAGAAACAGGCAGAAATTTGTCAGCAGAAGAGGTGAGCTGTGCTTTTGCCACCTCCTGCCTCAGTGCTTGTAATTAAGCAAAACACATAGCTGAAATGGGATCATTTAGGAAATCAGGTGGGAAAACAGAAGGGAAAAGCACTAGAAAAAGTTGTTTCTTTCAATATGTTCTCCCTTTTGTCTTCCTTCTCCCAGCATTGTGCACGTGATGCAGTGTGCCTAGGTACGTAATGTATGGATCCCATGGAAAAACCACTTGATTGTTAGATAACACTGTTATTAGAGCTGTCACTCTTGCAGTCATTACATTGTGTTATCACTTCTGCAACATTATTAGAGGTGTTGAAGTTTTTGAAGATGAAAATACTTAGCAAAAAAGGCGACTGATCTTGTATGTTTCTTGTGCTGTAAACTCTAATTACAGAGAAAGGCCTTAATATAAGACCAGTTCCATTTCAGTCATTCAGTTCTATTGGGAGAATTTACTTTTGGACTTTGTCATTAGCAGGTGCTGGATTGCTTCCCATGTTCTTGTGTGGTCAGGAAAGAAAGGTTTCTGGGTGCTGGATGCCTTTCCTTGTGTGCTGTGTTAACTGGACAGCAGTCACTCTAAAGCCTGTGCTTTTCACAGGCAGCTGAACATTACCAAGCTCAGGGGGATCCTTTTATCTGTGAAAGCCTACTCCTAAACTTGGGAATAGTGATGTGATTCTGTAGAGCTATGGGGAAGATGTTTAAATTTCCCCACCCCAAATATTTTTCCTGAATGAAATGACATGGAAACCTTGTGCTTTAAGAGAAAAAAACACCTCTATTTAGAGCTACAGAACCACTTTTTGGATTACTTGCAGTGCTATTCTGTTCAACCTCCCATTTGTTATGCCTTGTAACACAGTAGTTGGTGGTTAGTAATAGTACAATCTGCTTTTATTTTTTTCAATGTGGCATGGTTAATTTGTAAAATTACTTCCAGTCAGAACAGGACATTTATTCCAGAGCCATTCCTGATGGTTTGATACTTGTTCTACACCAGCCTTTGAGGTTTTCCACTATGTTAACTCTCAGTAGCTCAGTGCTTGGCAACTATCAGTACTGGGGGATTGTGTAAAACTCCTTATCTCAGTTAATTGTTCTGTTCACAGAACAAGATCCTGAATAGCTGCTGTGAAGCTGCCCAGATAGGTTGGAAACAGGGAAAGTAAGTGGTTGAAAGAAGCAGATATGTTTTCAGTAGCAAGAGGAGATGAGAGTGGTAAGCAGGGTTGAAAGTGTGTCCATGTGTTGTTTTGTTCATGGAGTGATTTGTCTACTCAGGTTTTCTGCAAAACAACAGTAAGAGGGGAGGTGAAGCCCCATGTTTCTTGTGATTAATCCAAGGAATTGGGAATGTATTGGAATAAAACTGTAGGAAAAGGGTGTGACTAAGCTGTACAGACAACAGCCACTTGGTATAGAGATGCTGCACCTCTTTCCACCTCCCGAGTTCTTGACCTTAGAATACATCTTCCCTTTGGGAAGTGACTCCTGTTGCTGTTGTTATTGTTTTTAGAAGCAAACAAAAACCCACAAACAATCCCAAACCACCAAAGCTTGGTTTTAGGAGGGATTTTTCTTTGGTTAAAATAGTCAGTTAAAAAAGCCACAAGTAATACTCACTGCCAGTCCCACAAACTCAAGCTGAGCTGTGATAGTCAGTCTTGAGTGTTACCTGCTCTTGTCTGAAGCGTAGAGGGGTTTGATGCTGATCTCTTTGTGGGATTTATGTCATTAAGACTCCAACACTAGAACTTGGCGTGGAGAGAACCAGGAACTGGTCACTGAAGGTAAGCAGGAAGCAGCAGTAGTCCCAGCCTCAAGCTGCAGTGGGAAAGAGGCACTTTTGCTAAATCAAATGAGTGGATACATTTCAGTGAGCTGAAAAATGCTGTTCTGTCCCTTCTCAGAGTGGAGCTGGCTTTAAGTCTCAGGAACTGCATTTGGCTCTGCTGTTTGAATTATCTGATGAAATCTTTCTTTGTTGCCTCGACATTGTTGGACACTTTTGTGCAAAGTTAAGGATTAGCAGGGAGAGCTCCTGTCAGCAGTGCTCTGAGTGAGTCAGAGTTTCCTCAAGACTAATGCTCATGAAGACTGATCCTGAAGAACACAGACAAGTGTTAGGCAATGTTATGCTCTGGAAAGTGCTCTGATATTAGTGATTGTTCATCCTTAAAAATCATTCTAGAATTAAATGGGTGATTTTCAACCATCTGTTGTATTGGATGGTTTTGGATATAGGTGTGGGAAGCTAAGCCCTTTCCCAGTCCCCAGATGTGCCACGGAGTGGGAATTATTGTAAACAAGGGGGAACAGGCATATCAGCAGAGGATTAAAAGGAGTAAGAGGCTCTTATTTTTACTACAGGTTAAAAAAAGCATGTCTGGACAGGAACTGCAAGTGCATGGGCAATTCACCTGTGAGCTTACACCTTGGGAACTCTGTGTGCTGTGCTCTGGCCGAGGCAGGAATTAACCTGCATCAGACACAAAACAAAGTGGCTGAACACCCATTTCTGTTCTTATGATCAGATGTCTTTGCTCAGAGAATTTTATTCTGTCAGAAGTAACTTAGGAACATTTTTGAGATGAAACATTATTGGGAAAGGTTTGCTTAGGCTATTGTTTGGATTTGCAATACAGTGTGTGTTTCCTGTCAATTCCAAGGATTCTTTTCTCCCTTTTCCTCTGAAGCTCTTTTTGATGAGGTTAGTGGAAATGGTATTTGTGAATGGCTTGCAGAAATGCAATCAAATTTCTTTCATCAGGTAAATAATCCATGTTTATTCAGGTTAGCCTTGGAGCAAAGTTCAAATGGCAACGGAACTTCTATGAACAATTTCACAACTGCGTGTGACTGAAAAATAAAGAAGTCAGGATTTTGTAATACCCCCCAAAATTGAGCATATTTCTTAAAAACAATATCAGATTTCTGAAACACAGTATCAGGTGATACCCCTGCAGTGAGTTAGATGTTTGTCCTAGCATGGGCAATGTGTGAACTGCTGTCTTGATTCTTTTGCTAGAACATGTACTGCGTGGCAAGGTTGTCTGGGTGACAGGAGCCTCAAGTGGAATTGGAGAAGAATTGACTTACCAGCTGGCAAAGATTGGAGCCCTGCTTGCCATCTCTGCAAGGAGGGAGGATGAGCTGGAGAGAGTGAAAAAGAAATGCCTTCGTAAGTACAACTTACTGTACATGCAAGCAGTGCCACATCCCACAGGAATACATTTAGTGATGAGAATCAGCTTTACACAGAGCTTCCCCAGACCTTTGAAGCTGGTATTCCCTCTTTGTGGGTAAGAAGCCTTTGTGTGGGTTTGCATTATGAGTTCCTTCATAAGCCACCGTTACCTAAAATCTCATTATCAATGGCAAGTGGTCTTGGAAGATATCAGCTGAAGAAATGGAGTAAATCCTGTGGGGAGTGGAGGGAACAGTCTCGGAGGTTTCATCCCATTAAGGACCAGACCATGGAGCTGCATGCTACTAAGTCTTGCTTCAGGTTTTTGCATGTTACAGGCAGACTGACTTTGCTGTTCCAAAGAGGAATGAATATAAATGTTCAGAAAAAGTTGTTCTGAGCAGGTTCAAGAGTGAAGATCTCCTGTAGATCAAGAGGAACTAGTGTAAACAAAATGTTTAACTATTCCACTTATCTTTTATATGCCTGCTGAGTCAGTAGTCTGGCTTCATTCCTCCTGTTTCTCTTTTTCCCCTCCTGTTTTCTGGCTTGGCAGTGAGAGGGATAGGCAGTTAATTCTCTCTGATAAATACAGGTTTGGGACATGATTAATGTTATGCCTTTTTTAGACTATTTATTCTCCACAGCTCAGGACTCAGTATTTTAAACTGAGTGCATTATCACACTGACTGTTCATTCCTAATAATGCTGATAGAATGTCCACAGTCTGCCTGGAATGTGTGCTAGGGAGTAATGAAATGTTTTTCTTGGGTTAGCACTTAAACATTTCTAGAAAGCTAAAAGTTGCATCAGCCTAGTCAGAAAATCTCTCAAGGAACATTCAAAAATCATAGAATAGAATGAAATGCACAAGTCCTTGATTTTTCTTGTCTGATGGTTCCAGAAAAGCAGTCACTTACACAGCTGCATTTACAAAGAAGCAAGGGGCACATGATGACAGTGTGGTGAAGTGGCAGTCGTGACAAAATGCCAGTGCTTTGTGATGCAATGCTCAGTGGTCACTAACAGTCTGCAACTACATTTGCGTCTGTGGCTGTTTGTCATCATTGCGAAACTGATAACAGGAGATAGGCAGGAGCTGTAATCCTGGAGAGGTGTTTTCAGGGAATACTTGTATGAGAGTGTGATGTGCTGAGGAACATTCAGAAATATTAGTTCAGTTGATGGGAACCAAGAGTACAGATTTACCTAAGGTGATTTCTGCCTCTGCCAGCTTGAAGTGACCCTGTGAATGTCTGAGCTTGTGCTATGGAGTAGCTTTAAAATCTGATGCAGCTATGTGCTTTGCAAGTATTTGCTGCTGAACTTCATTTTAACTAAAGTTCTGATTTGTAGGAATATTGGAGACTTTTCATTAACACAGTAAGTTAACAAGGATGTACAGTGATTGAACAAGGGGGAATGGCTTTAAATTGACTGTAGGTTTGTATTAGATATTAGGAAGAAATTCCTGGCTGTGAGGGTGATGAGGCACTGGCACATCACCAAAAAAGCTGTGTCTGCCCCATCCCTGGCAGTGTTCCAGGCCAGGCTGGATGGGGCTTGGAGCAACCTGGGTTGGTGGAAGGTGTCCTATGGCAGGGAGTTGGAACTAAATGGTCTTTCAGGTCCCTTCCAACCCAAACCATTCCATTTTTCTGTGATAGGTACTTCATGTTTTCTATAGCTATTCTTTAAGTAGTGGAAGAGAGTAATTAGACCTATATCCACTCTTTTTTTTAGCTTCTCAAGACTTTGTAAATCCAGCTTGATTATCATGGTGCCCCCTGACCATCTTAGGGACCTGATGCTACAATATCTGCAGTGTATCTGTATTTGCCTTGAACTAGAGAGGTCCAAAACTGGACACAGCACTCTAGATGGAGTCTGTAGAGGCAGTTAAACACTCCCCTCAGTCTGCTGTTGCTAGTGCAGCCCATTAGCATTTGTAATTGCCAGAGCTAATTGCTGATCTACACTCAGCTTGCTGCTGTCCTTCCATCAGGACCTCAGGTCTTGTTTGGAGAGCTGATACATAACCACTTGGATGTTGGCCTGCAGTACTGCAGAGCACTGTGCTGTCCCAGGTGTGAAGTTTTGCATTTGACTCTACTCTACATTGAGCTTAATGAGGTTTGTCAGACTGTTCTGAGAGCTTGTTAATATGCCTCTGCATGCCAGTCCTGCCCTCCAGCATTGCAACTGCTCCTCTAAACTTGATGTTAACTGAAGATTTTCTCAAAACCTGTGTTTTCTCCCATCACCTGGGTCATTAACAAAGGTATTAAAAGATATTGATCATGGAGGGATACCACAGCTGATCATAAAAAGCAGTTAAGTTGGCCAGGCAGTATATGGCTATGCTAAATCCATGCTGGCTTTTCCCACATACCTACTTGTCCTTCAGGTACCTGGAAATTGCTTTCAGGAGGAATTGCCACATAACTATCCCAAGGACTGAAGTTAGGCTGCTGACATTTGGTTTTCTTCAGTCACTGGGTAGTTAGTCCACTTACCAAGTACCTTACAAAGATGAGTGACATTGGTTAGCTCTTGTAAATCTTGGAGGAGTATATTGCCTTGCTTATATGTGCAGTTTGTCTCTAACTTGTCTTCCTCTGACTCTGCTAGTATTTCTTTCCCCCAGAGTCTAGCCCCAGGAGTGTGGGAGACTTGAGAGGAGATCTTGCCAGAGAAGACTAAGGCAAAGAAGGCAATAAGTACCTCACATTTTCTGTGCTCTTTGTCACCTCCTCCTCACCATCCCTGCTCAGCAGTGAGCTCACTGGTCTCCCTTTTGTTGCTGCTGTACTGCTGAAGCCTTTGTTGCCTTTACATTCCTCACCAGTTTCAGCTCCACCTGGGTGTTGATTCCATCCCTGCATGCTTGGGCAGTGGGTCGATGTGCTTCCTGAGTGGCTTGTCCCACCTTCCACCTGCATGTTTCCTCTTTGCAATTGAGCTCAAGATTGTTCTGTAAGGTCTGAGTAGTGTGGGATGAACTAAGACTGAGCTGGAACATGTAACAGGAACGTGAGTTTGGCTGAATTCAGTGGCCTAATTGGCATTAATGGGCTGTAACACGCCTGCTGGAGAGGCTCTACACAGCAGCAACTCAATTAGATGTTTTGCATATTGATGTCAGAAACAAGCACAGATATCTGGTTCAAAATTTAGTGACACCACCCTGTGATACAGGTTTATGCATTCTACACTGCCTAAAAGCTGAAGGAGAGACAGAGAAGGGAAGTATTGTAAGAGCTATGGTAATACCTGTCGAGTCATGCATAAGCCAACTCAACACTTGATTGCACTCCTGCAGGAGGGAGAGAAAACAGCTTGTATAACTCAAATGGCTCCTGCAAGTGGCTTTTGTATTTATTTCCCCCAACCACTCTCTGCAACATGAGTTGAATTTCACCAGAAATGTGGGATGCTGTTTCAACACAAAAGCCCTAAAAAGGCTCTTTTAGGTAGGTGGGGGGATGTTTGTTGGTTTGACAAAGCTCAAATATGATTTAAATATGGATAGGCTGAATGAGGGAGAGGCAATCTGTAAGTTCAAGAATTATGCAGTAAATGAGGTTGGAATGGGCCCCAGGAGGTCACATTGATCAGCCTCTGCTAAAAGCTCAAGTTCCATCAAAGGACATTATACAAGGGAGAAATAAAAGAAGATGAAATGCTGAAGAGCTGGAAAATACTATGCTGAGCAATAGTGTTTATTGTGTTAGGAGAAACTGAGATCTTGGATTAACAGGTATTGAAAAGAATTGTTGATCTGAAACCTGAAAAAATGAACTCTAAGGTCTCCTACTTGGGACCAAGTGTTTGTATGGGTACCATAATTATTCCCTTAAAAACATCAGTTTGGTATCAGGCCAAAAAGGCAGTGGAATATTAGGGTTTATTAGTAAAAGTGAATGGGATAAGAAGCTTAGATCAGGGTAACAGAAATGGCTGAAGTTTTGTAAAAGCTGTCTATGGGGAGTGCCTAGAGACACTTTGCCCTAGCAAAGAATTAAGGAAGCTGCTAGAGATGTACAGTATGAGGGGTGGAAATCAAACTGGTCTACAGATTGCTCCCAAACAAGGTTTCTGGCTTAAAATTTCCTGAAGTCAAAAGTTTCTTACATCGTGTAAAAGAGCACTTCCTTCCTGATCAGTAGTCTGTGTCTCTTCCTCTGCTCTCTCTGTCTCCTGCATAGCTTTTGTGGCTGAGCTGAGTGTGGTGTTGTTAATGCATGGCAGAAACACCCCTTGTCCAGCAGATTCCAGCCATGCAGATCTGCTTGAGGCAGCACGAGGTGGAGGTGTCTCTCTGAGACAGCAGCTTAAACTACATGGATTTTACTGCTGTGTTTCTGGAAGGAATTCAGGTGAAAATACACATGGAAGGAGCAGTAAATGGACATACTAGTAGCTTTAAACCAGACAGATAGGTTTGTTTTAACCAGTGTCTGAAATACTAATGACCTTTGAACAGAGGCAACTGACGGATTTAAGTAACCTCTTTATTTGTACATTGCTGCAAAGACAAAGTTCAACCTTCCCTCTCTATGCAAGAAGCAGTAATTAAAAGTCAAAGCCTGAGGCTCTCTGAAGAGGGCAGCTGCTTAAAGGGGAGCAGGTACACTTAGTCATGGCTAGGAATCAATTTAGAAACAAAAACACTATCAAACGAATATCAATAAAATTAAAATCATATTCTATGTAGTTAAAAACTTCAAGTGATGAACATTGAAGATTTAGGTTTTGTGAGTCATCTGCCCCCAAAACCCCAGGGTAAGAAATCACTGCTCAGGAAATGTTCTCCATGGAAAAGGTCAGTTGTTCTGAAGAGACAGGGGTAGGAACACTCAGCATGAAAGCTGGAACTCCATGGCAGCTGACTTATATTTCAGGGCATGGACACACTGAAAACTGTCAGTTGAACAAAACCCTTCTACCTCCTCCAGTAGGCCCCTAATAATCCACCTTCTCCAAGCTTTGCCTCACAGCTGCTCAGGGATATATGTTGTCTTTTGGGTCTAAATTGTACTAGTCCTACTGTCAGGAATAAACATGCTTGACCTGTTAGCATCCCAGCAAGTGTCAGGGCTGCCAATGTGCTCAGGGAAAAATATCAGTTGCATGTTTCTCCCAACTATTGCAATTTCTTTGGAGAATTGAATTGTCTGTATTGAGCTACACAAACCTCTCTAATAAAATCAGGCTTTTCACATGCTGAAACTTAATGATGGGAACAGAAAGACTTGGTAGGAACAGCTTAAAAATGGATTCTATGTGGAGATCAAAATGATGACCAAGCAAGCATTTAATTTCCAACTTGTTGTTATGGTTTCTTGGTGTCTTTTTCATTAAAATGTGGTGTTTAAAAGCATGTACATTTCCCACACTCGTTGCATTAGCAATCTGACCTGGTTGCTGTTCACTTTATGGTTGTTTTTAGAGATTAGCAGCCTGAATGAAAAAGATATCCTTGTTCTGCGTCTTGACTTGACTGACAGATCCTCTCATGAAGCTGCAACCAACAGTGTTCTTAAGCACTTTGGCAAGGTAAGATGTGCTTCTGGGTTAAACCTCTTTGTCTCCTCTATCTCCTAGACCTGCATTTATGCTCTTAGCTCACTTTTATTCTGTGATACTCATCTGTCTTCAGTTTCAATATTAAACTTGCCAAAGAGTACTTGAATTTTTATCCTTTCTGTTGTTTCTGGGTTAGCAGGATTAGCAGATATGCAGCCACAAGCAAATAACCACTGGTCATTACCAAGAACTAAAACCTCACTTGCTTGATGTCACCAAATTGCCTGAGGAAGTGCAAATAGTAAAGGAAATGTGTTCTATTAATTTATCTTTGTATTGTTCCCCAGATTGATGTGTTGGTCAACAACGGTGGACGCTCCCAGCGCTCCCTGTTTGTGGATACAAACTTGGATGTCTACAGTGCCATCATAGAACTCAACTACCTAGGTACCATCTCCTTAACAAAGCATGTCCTGAATCACATGGTCCAGAGGAGATCAGGGAAGATTGTCACTGTGAGCAGTGTGATGGGTATCATGGGAGCTCCGCTCGCCACGGGGTACTGTGCCAGCAAACATGCTCTGCAGGTGAGTTACAGCTTGGAAGTGAATTCACTCTTCTTGTCTAATAGACCAGCATCAGTGCTGGAGCACTGTGCAGAAATCACAAGTCTCACCTGAAATGACACACAGCACCTCAGGTGTTGAAACTCCTAAAATGAATTTGCTCTGAGATGCAAAATTTCTCCCAGTGTGGATTTATTTTCCTGACTACAATTCAAGTGCCAAATATCTCCCAGTGTGGATTTATTTTCCTGACTACAATTCAAGTGCCATCTTAGCTGGGTCTAACTACTGTGTGGTTAAATTCCAAACACTAGGCCTTGGCCTCTGGCCCTCAGATGAGGGAATACCTAAATAGGAGGATTATTCTGTTGCATATAAAAGCCTTGATGTTCTCAACTTAATTCAGTGAGGGAGAAAAAGTCACTGGTGAGAGTTTTAAGACTACAAGAAATCTTTAGGATAGTAAAGTGAGAACAGTGAGTGGTAAAGCAAACTGCTCAGAAATGAGAATTCCTGATCTATCTGGGAACATCAGAATGAATCTTCCCAACAGTTCTGAATCTTGCTGTGGTGTGAAGAACTGGCAGCTCATAGTGTCTTAGGAAGTTTCTTCTGCCTAGCACTTCACTTCCAATATTGCTTGGAAAGAGTTTCTGAAAGTAGTGTCACCTGTACAGAAACACATAAAAGCAGAGCTCAGAAAAGTATCTGCCTTTATCACTGAGGAATCATTTGTTTAACTTGTAAATTTGTTTAGACATATTTGCCTTTCACCACTGTTTGACTTCCCTCTAATGTACATTTTGATCTTAGTAAAACAAACTTCAGCTGTGCTCAGTGATGGCTTAAAAAACTGGCACGTTTTTACTCCCTGCTGCATTTAAGCACGTGAGCAGAGTAAATAACTGTCTGAGCCAGAGGATTAATATCTTTCTCTCAATTTGACTAACAACAACAAAAATGTAGTGGGTGGGTGACACTGCAAAGCCACTAGACACCTGAAAGAATGAAGATGTAGGACTTGGTGACAGGTCTCTGCTAACAAAAAGTTCTCAGTGAGAGGGAGAGATCTGCTCCTCCTCCTTGGAGTGGCAGTGCTGAAGTTTCCTGTTGGAGGCAATTGCTCTTGGGTTCAATCTGCTGCATTTAAATCAGGAGCATGCAGTGAGCAGCAGCCTGAGTTCCCTTTATGCTCCTTTCTTTATTAAGTGTTCTTTCGGTTGAATTATCTTTGGGTGTGGTGTGGTTGGGCTGAGCACAGCTAATTAGTTGCAGAGCACAAGGAGTTCACGTGTTGCTTTAAAAATTCTCAGAATTTTGAATCTCATGTGAGAACATGGATGAAGCTTTCAAGAGATCGTTAACTAATCCAGAAATTTGAGTAAAAATAAGCTAACTGAAGTGCTTAGATCTGTTAGCTTCTACCTCTGCTCAACAGCCAGGCCAGACTGCAAACCTCCCTTCTGCTTTTTTTCACAGTAATTCTACAAATACTAATTGCAGGTGTTGAAATATGTAATTTGCAGTGTAGACTTTGACAAGACTCTGTCTGAGAGTCACTTGTCAGTCTGGAGTTAAGGCTAGAGGTGGGCATGAAGCCCCCAAAAAACTAGGAACAGCTTTTTTGAAATACCAAACTTCACCAGTACAGTTGAGGTAAGGGAAGTCTGGAGGAGAGGCCTCTTGAGGTATCCATTAAGAGTATCCTCTTTGGGTTCCCATTTGCCCATCCCTGATGACCAAGAAGAAATGACTAGAGAGAGGAGAAGGGAAAAATAAGACAAAGCATGAAGTGATGCTTTTCCTGTTGTGTTTTCCCAGCAAGTATCCACCTGTATTCCAAGATCTTCTTGACATGAAGGTTGCAGTTTGGCCACTAGTTATTCAATATATGAGCCTATCTGACATGAATTCATTGCAGTTTTTTTAATTCATGCCTTGGAGTTTGTCCCAGCTGACACAGTTAATGCTGCAATCTTAATTATGTCACTCAGGGGGAAAAAATCCCTCCTTTTGCTGGTGGTTTTGGTTTTGTGGGTTTTTTAATTCCTTTTAAATGGCAGTTGGAGGAGGAAGGAAGGAATTCTGCCTAGAATTAGAATTTTTTTCTCGAAACAATCATGCTTTGATTCATGCCAACTGGAATTCTTCATCACAATGTTCTCCTGATGAAACTGCCCTTTATTTCAGTGCTGGGAGTGCTGTAAGAGCATGAGTCAAGTCCACGGGAGTTTGCATCTGACTGGTGCAGTTTCTGTGCTGGTGAGATGATGCACGTGGAGATCATGTGCCATTCATCCACTTGCAATGCATACAATGGGTGGCATGTGGAGTGAATCAGAAATGGTGACCCTCAAAATGTTCCTTCATCAGGAATTTGTCTAATAAGCCCATGGACTGCTCTGAGCAGCAACCACTCCTCTCTTGTTCAGTCTCTGGTCATTTGTTAGGGGAATTTCTAAATGTTTCTGTCATAGTAGGAGTCATTTCAGCTTTGCTTTCTTCAGCATCTTCTAGGATTTGGTTACTAAGCTGGAAAGGCCTAGAGATGGCTGGAAGCAGTTCCTGTCCCTGTCTTGTGTCTGTATGTCAGAGCTGGCTTCAGGCTGGGCTTGGTGGGAACACTCAGGTTCTTCCTCTTGCATTGAGGTGTTTTACTGCTCCTAAATCTGGGTCTGTCCCTGTCTGAATTTAAAGAAAAGAAAGCAATTCCTTTTGTTTCTTAGGAATTTTAAGCTTCTCTTCTGGGAGGAAGTAGAGGAATTTCATCCCAGCTATCTTTGGTTATCAAATCAATGCTGGACTTGGAGAACATGTCACGCTGACCGTGACAGTGCCTACAGGGCTGGCTACTGCTGTGTGCCTCGTGGGGCTGCTCAGGACCACAGGCAGGTGCCTGTTTTTAGGTAGAACTGGGATCTCAGAAACCTCCCAGCATCTGAGCAGGTGTTGATGCTTTGTCACAAGTAACCTAGCCATGGTGTGGTTTGCTTTCTGTCACAGCACTCCCAGACACATACCTTGACTCCTGGAACTATATCTTGAGTGTGTGTATCTGGGCATGAAAGTGTCTTTGGTGTTAGAACTTAGTCCTCTAGCAGGTACACATCTCACTGATTGACTAACATGCTGTGAAGGTCTGATACCAGATCTGGGGCCTGTAGGTTCTTATGATTTTAATTACACAGTCAGTGTTTTTAGAGACCCAAACTGCAAAGCCTGTATGCAGTCCATGAACTGGAATTAGCCACCAGCAGCTGGGAAATTTGAGCTCATGTTCTTGGTCAGTGTGCAGTGGTGAGCAGCTCCTTGCTGAGCTTTGGTGGCTTGTCCCAGCTGGCTGTTTCTGTCACCTCAGGCACACACCTGGCTGGTTTTGGCCCTGTGCTGCAGCTCAGTGAGGAGCTCTGGGTCAGCCAGGTCTCTTCCCAGGCTGGGTGGGAGTACAAGTGATAAAACCTTACTACAGTGGGAGGAGTTTATCAGCCTGTGCTCACTCTCTGTTGTGACACGAAGTTATGTGTTGGAATAAATAACTGTCAGTAACCAGGTCAAAGATAAGACATGATGGGGTCTTGGCTAAATAATTGCTCCCCAGTGCTTGACCAGCAGCTTTGCTAGAAAGCACCTTCCTGAATTGGTCATGTTTACTACAACACTTGCTGTCTAAATGTGATTTGCTGCAGAGATTCAGAAAACTTGTATCCTATTAGCTTAGATAAAAGAAGTACCTACAGTTTCTGTAATTATGGTTTAACTTGGATACACTGGCAATGTATTCCTGAGCTGGAATTAGACTTATATCTGCATGGATGCAGATTTTACACTCTGCAGTGAATTCAGTGGTGCAGAATGACCCTCTAAATTGTCAGGGTGCACCTTTGACTTTGCTATGCTGGAAAGTTTTCCTCCTTCTCTTACACAAACCAGTGCCACTTAATAGAAACAATATCACCCCAAACAGCGATTCACCTGGAAAAGATAATTCCCATGATCCTACAGTTCTTAGAATTGGTGTCATTTCCACTACCAAACAGTGAGGCTTGTCCTCAGTACAGGAACAGCAGAGTCTGTCTGGCTGTGGTTCAGAGAGATGACTGTGTTTGGGAAGATAAGGATAAATTCCTCACTGGTTTATGTATCAATATCTGCAGTTGCAGATAAAATGTTATGAAAAATGAAAGAAAAAGTCAGAACTGCTTTTAGTGGGATACTGTTATCTTTACAGCATAAATCAGTGTGAAAAGATGTAGCAGTTAAACCTGACAAAACTATGGCAAAGGAGGTTTTCATTATATTTTTGTCTTTCAGGGATTTTTTAATTCTCTGCGGACTGAGCTGACTGACTACCCTGAGATAAGCATTATCAACATCTGCCCAGGGCCTGTGCAGTCCAAGATCATCCAAAATGTCTTTACTGAGAATCTTGCAAAGGTAAGGACTTCATTCTGTTGTGATAAATCCAACTTCTGCTCCAGGGACTGTGATGCTCTCATGTTTTTCTTTTCTTTTTTCTGCTCCTAGCAAACACTAACCTCAACTTCTTATCACAAAAATGCTTTGAGTGGTTCAGAACTGTATATAGTCCTGCTATTCCCTGTGGTATCCAGTCCATATCAAATGAAAATAAAGTTTGAGAACTGTTCTCCCTTCTCTCTGCCAACACACACAACCCAAGTCTAGTGAAATTTCCTGTCCAGGCCCTGTGCTGCTGTTCTGAGGGAAAGGCCAGGATTTTCTGGACACAGCTGTGCCTGCAGAGCACTGTCCTTGCTGCACAGGTAGTTCTGTTTGTCCTGGTCACGCTGTGCCCTGCTGGGTGACGCTGCTGCTGGCACAGTCACTGCTCAGCTGACGCGAGCTGTGCATTCCTTTCCTGTTAGGGATTGTTCCAGGAGAAAAAGCAAAACCTTCCAACTGCACAATGCCTTTTAATAAAGGCTGTCTAACAAAGTAGCTGGCAAAAATTGCTACTGTGATACATCAAATCCTGATCTGCCCTAAATTCAGCCAGTTTGAAGCTCAGGATAACCCACTGGTGAGGGGGAGGGGAATCTTCCATTGTCAAATCAAGTTCTGGAAGGATTTTTGGCTTGCAAAACTTGATACTTGCATGAAAGAGAAGATGTACTCTTTGAGCAATGGGGAAAGCTTGCAAAACACATTCCTCAGATTTCAGCATGGCAGAAGACCAGGGAGGAAGAGCAAATCTAGACCAGAACTGCTTTTGCCCTGGGAAAGAGAAGACTATATGCCTAGAGCAGCCTATTACTGTGGAGGGCAATGTGCCTAAGTTCACAGGGCTCTGGTTTATGTTCACCAAGTGATCCATGGGGACAAGACCTCAGGTAGCCATCCCTGCACTGAAGCAGCTTGCTGCTTTGCTCTGGGATGAGATGAGTGCCCGGGGGAGAGCTGACAGGAATATTTAATGGGGAATGTGGCCTCATCTACTAACTTGGTTACTGCATAACTTGTAGCACAGAATGGGGCAGGGAGCTGGGAACAGGGGAGTTCCCATTTCCCAGAGGTGCAGATGAGGTAACCTGTTCCAATAGATCTGTGTCACAATCAAGTAGAAGCCATGCTGAAGCAGGACAAAGAGATCCTTTTCTTTTTTTTTTTTTTTTTAACCTTTGACCAGTCAATCATGGCATTAATTAAAAGGGTGACAGGCCCTGAGGGAATGGCCTGAAGTTGTGTTAGGAGATGTTTAGATTATATATTAGGAAAAGGCTCTTCTCCCACAGGGTGTTTTGGCACTGGAACAACACCCCAGGGCAGTGCTCACAGCCCCAAGCCTGACAGAGCTCAAGGAGTGTTTGGCCAATGCTCTCAGGCACAGGGTGGGATTCTAAGGGATGTTGTATGCAGTGCCAGGAGTTGGACTCGATGATCCTTGTTGGCCCCTTCCAACACCAGATATTCTGTGATTCTGTGAATTAAGCCAGAGGGAGGTCAGAAGTGTTCCCACACCAAAAACTAAAGGACAGTGAGGGATGGGTTCCCCAGTCTCTGCTATACTGGCTGGATTCTACTGATGGAGAAACTGGGAGGAGTGTGTGTCACACAGAGCCTGGTCCTTTCTCTCCTTCTGTCACTGACAGAGATCCAGTTCTAATCCCTCCTCGCTCTGTCTCCCCCCCAGTCCATAGAGAACAGTGGTGACCAGTCCCACAAGATGCCAACCGAGCGCTGTGCCCGGCTCACCCTGGTGAGCACAGCCAACGACCTGAAGGAGGCCTGGATCAGTGACCACCCCTACCTGGCTGTGTGCTACATGTGGCAGTACACACCCACCTGGGCTTGGTGGCTGATGAACAGGATGGGCAAGAGGAGGATACAGAACTTCAAGAGTGGAGTGGTAAGTGCACTCCTCTCTCCTCTGCTGGCTTCTTTTACTCTGCTGACTGACTTGCCATGGGAATGTTGGGATTGCATTTTGGATCCATTCCCTTTTTTCTTCTTCTCTTCCATAGCAGCCAATGCCAGGCCAGACTGCATTGCTGCATCCTGCTAGTGTAGAGCTAGAGCCTGACCACAGCACAGTGAAGTCTTGTCCTGCCCAAGGTCTTGTTCTGATCTTCATCACACAGGCTGCAAGTTCAGGACTCACCATCAATGCAGAGCTAGAAGTCACTGGCATAAGTTATTTAGTGCACCTTGGAATTAAGGCTGTTGAAAACATCTCCCTTGGCTGTGTCTAGTTTTTGTATCAGGCACATAATCTGAGCACCTCCCAGGAGTATGTTGAGGAGTGCTAATGTCTGTCAGGGCTCTCCACTCATCCTTACAGCCCTGAGGACAGATGTGCAGTGTTGTGTTCCTGCAGTGATGCTTGGGGGATGCTATTTATTCTTACTGTGGGGTTTTTTGGAGCATGGTACAACAAAACCTCCCACGTTAAAGTACTTCAAAAGCAGGAGGAAAGGCCAAAATAAGGGTACCTACTTCCACACTAAGTGCCCACTGTCACAGGCTGTGTCAGGCAAAGCAACACTGGGATGAAGGACTTAATACAGCAGAGAGCAGGGTGGGGTAATGCTGATTTGATATCCTCTCTCTCCAGGATGCTGATGCCTCTTACTCAAGAAAGAAGAAGTAAGGATGAGCGTGTACAAAATTCTGCTGTTCTTGTGCTAAGGCTGAGAAACTTTTCATATTGCATGTCTGCAAACAGCAGCTTTTTTTTTTTTTATCTGATATCTTTGTCATCCTGTAACTTGCCAAATCTTATCAAGCTGCATACACACTTGACTGAATAAAAAAAAAATCTTTCTAAACACACCTGTTTGGTGTCAAACTCTGCAGGCTCAGTTTATAAGCTTACAGGCACTGAGATGCTGTGATGCTATGCTGCTTGTTTTTCTGCTGCTCTTGACATTGCCAAATACCTGGTGAGCAGCCTAAAAGTCACATACCTCGGGATCCTGTTTCCCTTACTTTCATTCCTAATGGATGATGAGCAAAAAACCCCTACGAGTAGAAGGTTGTGGTATGGAGGATAAGGAGGTATAGTCTGTGCCTATGCAGTGTTCCTTGAACAAAATGTTTCAGGCTAAATCTCTTAACTTCTGGCACAACATTTAGAAGTACTTACTCTTTAGGTCTCAGCACCACTGCAGAGTCCACAGGCCTCTGCCCTGTGGCTGTTTGGTAGAGGCTGAGCAGAGGCAGTGGGGAAGGAAGAGGCCATGGTGTAGTTGTAACCCTTGCCACAGGCAGTGCTTAGCCCTGCACTAAATCTGGCATGTGTTGAATCTACAGAGCACCGTGGAGAGAGGAGCAGGGAATGTTCCTGCAGTAGAACAGCCTCCAGTGCCAAGAGGGGCATGGTATGAGCAGAGAATCCATTTCACAGCAGATTGCTTACAGCCAAGACAGCAGTGCTACTGTCAGAGCTGAACTAGGGCAGGCACCACATTGCAGCATGAAATAGAAGCTGAACTCCCAGTTCTGTATGGAGCAGAGGCCAATCTCAACAGCACTGGTGGCATACTGGGCAGCAACAGCCACGAGGAAACAAGGATGGACTTCACAACACCTTTACCATCTCACTGACACCCAGTTCAGCCTTAGCTAAAAGTTACCATTACCTCTGCTCTGGTAACTCACTGGACTTAGAACCTTGGTCACCTTCTTGCTGTTGACAAAGTCCTCAGTAACCTTTGGCTGTACCTCAGTCCACACACTATCCAGGTAAGAAAAATTCATACTTATATCATTGATTGATAATAAAAGAATAACAACTCATGTATAAATTATGGAAACTTTCCAACCAGGGCAAAGAAGAATAAGCCAAGAATGATGTTTTTAATATGACATTTAACAAAGATGATACAAACTACAAACAAACTGCTGTCTAGTAAAAAACAACCAAAAACCACTAATGAAATGGCAAGTGTCTTGTCCAGGATGGAGGGTTCATTCCACTTGCCAGCACACCAGTTCCCATGCTGGCCAGTGCTACAGAGGCAGCAGCAACTCTGCATACAACGTGTAGATGCATCCACCCTCTAGTCCACAGCAGATCTGGCAGCACTGTGAGCAGCAGTTTGCTCTCAGTTTACATACATCTTTCTCTGCTTTATCAACAATGTGTAAAGCTTTTGTGCTCAAGAAGTTCAAGTCTGCTTGAGCTAAGGGCAAGTGCTTACAGGGACCTACAGCCCCACAGTCACAGACTGTGCTACTGCCACGTCCAGTGTGGGAATGGACAGCATGGAATGAGGGACAGCAGAGATGACAGGGATGGGGCAGGGGTGAAACTCTTTCAGAGAGGATGCTGATGTTCAAGGAAAATGCCCAAATCAGAGATTTCACAAAAGAGGGCAGAACATTTGCCATTTGAAAACTTCACTCCCCTGACACTTCATTCCATTAAGCTGTTTCATGGTGCTTTATGGGCCACGAATAGGACAGAGGCAGAATCCAAGACAATGTTTTTGGCTCAAAAAAAGGGGATTGAAAAGCTTTTTGTAAGGATATAAAACTGATCTTGATAAAGCCACAATGAAGGTGTCTTACAGAATGATTTGGGTTGGAAAAGACCTCTGAGATCATCAAGTCCAACCTTTGACCAAACACCACTAAGTGCCATGTCCAGTTTTTTCTTGAGCACCTCCAGGGATGATAACTCCACTACTACCTGGGCAGCTCATGTCAATGTTTAACCCTTTCCATGAAGGAATTCCTCCTGTTGTCCAGCCTGAACCTCCCCTGGCACAGCTTGAGGCCATTTCCTCCCATCCTGTTGCTAGTTGCTGGGAGAAGAGGCTGACACTGCTCCCCCACCCCCTGCCTACCTTTCAGGGCAGTTGTTGAGAGTGAGAAGGTCACCCCTGAGCCTCCTCTTCTCCAGGCTGAGCCCCTCCAGTTCCCTCAGCTGCTCCTCAGGATGTTCCCTCCAGACCCTTCTTCAGCTCCATTGCCCTTAGACTTACCTTTGTGTGATGAACTCACAGTCTGTAAATCAACTAGCTGTTAAGAATTAGGTAAAGCTGCTGCACACACGTGGTTAGAAAACAGAGCAGCTCTCAAGGGTCACCCAGGAAAATGCTGAGGTTGCAAGCTTAGTCCTAGGTACTGAGTGCAGTTCTAGTTTGCCATCAGTAACCCCAGCAGCAGTGTGTACACACAGACAATGCCAGGCTTCAGGCTGCTCCAATTCCTGAGTTCCTGAGAAATCAAAGAAATGCTTCAAACCAAACAGGACATGGTTCAAGAACACACAAACAAACCAACACACTGAACAGGGGCACTTGGCTGCACAAATCTGTGATAAAGAACAAGAGGCTGTAACTCACATTTCTGCCAAAAAAGGAATGTACAGAGGGTTTCAGGAAAGGGTAATGTGAGTCAGGGTCACAATGCTGCAAACCCACCAGAATGTGCTGAGGGGCTGTGGACATGCTGCCTGGGACAGCAGGGGACAGGATGCTGCAGGGCATTCCAGCCCAGCTCCACATTCCTGTGCAGGAACAGGAACTGTGCCCATTGCTAATTGAGCTCCTCCATCTGGTACCAATCAGCATCTCTGCTGGAACACCGGGGCCAGTTACCAGCAACACTTCCCAAGAAGGCTGGGCACCAGATGGAGAGAACCTGAGGAGAGGAAGGGAAAAGGATCAGAGCTCTCTTCAGTTCTTTCTCAACTAGTTTATTCAGTTTACAAAAGACAAAGAATGAGGGCAGAAATTACAGCCATCTTCAGATAAAAGACTGCTGCAAGGAAAAGGTAATTAAACTCTCTGTGACCATACAGAAGACAAGTAGTAAGAGGCTTACAGTGAGGCAGGGAGGGTTCATTAGGTTCAGGAAATAACTCCCACTTTCCAAGTGCTGCAAGGACAGCACAGAACTGGGGAGAACTACTTCAGGAGCTGATGACACTCCTGGTATTGGAAGTCTAAAATCAGAGTAAACACCTGCCAGGGTAGTTCCTTCTGAGAGGAGCTAAAATAGGTGCTTCTAAAAGCCTCTTCCAGATCACTTCCATGGCTCTGTATTTCCAGAGGCAGTTCAGGGGCGAGCATGGTACCAAAGAGATGTTTCCTTACTGCTCTGGAGCTCCACTACACCACTTGCATAGGTTTTAAAAATCATTTATGGCCACTGATAAAAAAAAAGGCCAACAGCCAAGTACACAGTCCTGTGCCAATTTCATCCAAGACAAAAAGGTCTTCAATGTGAGGAGTAAAAGTAATAAACATGCTCCAAATCAGACAAGGTTGGGTGTTCTCAGCCAGCTCTAATTCGGTTACAGGGCAGGTCTGATTTAAATTCATTCTATAGGTTAAGGAAATGCAATTACCTACTCCCTGCCCAGCATTTGCCAGCAGTACCTACCCTGGAACTACTGACCTACAGAGGAAACACATAAATGTGCTCAGACTGGTGGTAGTGAACAGGATAAATGAGCCACAGGAGAGAGGACCCAGCCTTCCTCCCTAGGAGACTTGTAGTATTACAAAGCAGCTGCCAAAGTCTGGTCCAGCCTGTGGTAAGGTTAAGAAAATGAATTACTTCTGGCACAGACAGCTGGATTTCCACTCCCCCCCAGCATCAAGCTCTCACTGTATATGTGGAAGACTGATTAGTGAGGTGGACAGAGGTTGCAAGTGACAACATATCTAGAATATATATATGGATATTGGAAGAAGGAGATGAAATTATTCCATTTGGACTTAAAAATTCAGTCTCTCCCCTAATTATACACATTTACTTCCTTCATCAGTAGGTCATACAGATTATCAGTGTGTCAGAGCACATACTATTTATAGAAATTCTCTTTACCAAAACAAGTACTTTGGTAAAAATTGTCCCTTACGACTTACTTTGTTCAAGCATAGCTGATAAGTTACTACAACCAAGGAAGATCAGTGAAAGTCATATAACAAATGCCAGAACTGGACTCAGTCCAATACAAAATGGGCAGAATTTAAAAAAAATCATATAAATAGTCCTATGTACACTTTGGTTGCCAACCCTGGGGCTGACAGTTCTACAGGGAGCAGTAACCTGACTGTCAGTGCAAGTCACCTGTCCAAAATAAAAATAAAAATAAATCAAAATGCACCAAAACTAGATCATGATCAGAACTGTGCTGCTCTTCTCTAAACTGGAGAAGAGAATTTCAGCACCTGGCTCCTCAGTCACACAGGCAACGGTGTCTCACGTTCCAGCAGCAAGAAATCAGTCCCAAACTCCCTGCCTGCTGAAGGCTCTGGCCAGCACCACTCGTGTGCCGAGGGCGTGTGCTGGGCTGGCACTGCCACCCAACGCCACTGCAGAGTAACACCTGACCTGTGGGGTACAAACGCAGCACAGACATTTGGTTCCCAACACGCAGATGGAAAACACAAAGTATCAACAGTAACAGCTCCAGATCCGCGGGAGTGCTGCGGCCGCTAGAGGAGCGGGAGGTGCAGGAGCTGGGAGAAGACGGGGTAGCCCAGGGGCGGGTCTGCAGCCTGCACCGTCAGGTTCCGCAGCAGCACAGGGTGTGCCTGGATGCTGTAACGCTCCTCGTCGTCGTTGGTGGCATAGAGCAGCTCCCAGGACAGGTTGGCCCACTGACCTCGGACAGCTTCAGCATTCAGCTTTCCCACTTGCACTAAAAACTCCTGAAGAGTGAGGACTCTCCCGGTGTAAATTCCCTTCAAGAACAAACAGATGAAGATGTTCAGTACATTCTCTGAAAAGACACACGAGCACTTTGGTTACAAAGCACTAAGTGAAGCTTTGGGGCTAAGTGCTGTGGATATCATCCCTTTAAACATGGCAAAGTGTGTAAGTGCTGGAGTGAGTCCAGAGAAGGGCAGCAAAGCTGGGGAAGGGTCGGGAGCATGAGTCCTGTGAGGAGCAGCTGAGGGAACTGAGGCTGTTTAGCCTGGAGAAGAGGAGGCTCAGGGGTGACCTCATCACTCTCTACAGCTACCTGAAAGGAGGCTGTACCCAGCTGAGGGGTCAGTCTCTTCTCCCAGACAACTGGTGACAGGACCAGAGAACACAGTCTTAAGCTGTGCCAGGGGAAGTTCAGGTTGGACATTAAGAAGAATTTCCTCACAGAAAGGGTGATTAGACACTGGACTGTGCTGCCCAGGGAGGTGGTGGAGTCACTGTCCCTGAAGGTGTTTAAGGACAGACTGGACGTGGCACTTAGTGCCAAGGTCTAGTTGACATGGTGGTGTTAGGTCATAGGTTGGCCTCAATGATCTCAGAGGTCTTTTCCAACCTTAATTACTCTGTGAAACCTGTCTCCTCTGTTTGATTCTTCCATCTAGGAATATAGTCAGGAAATATTGCTGCATCTGAAGAACAGCATGGTGTGATTTTCAACAACACTGATGCCAGTTCCTCTAGCCAAACACAAACTTTTCACAGCCTTCATGTTTTGGAACACGATTGAAAAGAAAAAAGAGCAGTGGAAAAGAAATCACTAGTGATTTTTCTCCTTACCATGTTTGGGTCGTGCCCCAGTGAGAAGAGGAATGGCTTTTCCTGCAGAACTGCTTGCTGCCACTCCAGGTCTGACACCAGCCCAATGTACCAATCGCTGTCATACTCCTCCAGGTAATTAACCAGCTCCTCGAAGTTCTCCACTGGCCCCAGGCTGGCTTTGTCAACCATAAGTTTGAAAGTGTATCTGAAAGGTACAGAACAACATACAGTCAGTTGTGCAGCAAAGACAGCAGGATGAAAGGCTCTTCAGGAAGGCAGAAAGGCTCCATCAAACCCTGTCTGCTACTGCTTGTTCACCTGGGTGTGCTTTTAGCTCACCCAGATGTAAAACACATAAGCTTAAATATCTCTCATTCACCTCCAACACTGTTCTCACTGCCTGATAATGGAAAGTGCCAAACATCTAACTCCATCACAACTCTCTGTGATATGGAGACAATGAAAATGTGTGGTTCTTTCCCCACTTAACACAGCAGAATGGAGGTAGATGCTGTGAGGAAGGGAAGGAGGAAGGAACCTCCATACCACAGGCTGCACTGCACAGGGTCACAGGGAGCATTTATGTAGGAAAAACCTACAAGTATTTTTAAATTCTATGGGTTTTACAGAAGTCTAATGAAGTGATATTTACTTTCAAAGCACAGGACTCTATATAATGTTTATATCTTTTACCTGAATGCTTTTAATGCCAGTTGGAATAGCTCTGGCTTGCTGGTTAGCCAGTCCAAACCAACAGACCAGGGAATGCCACCAGTGTAGGCTCTGAACACATGGCTGGGGGCAGGCACTGTGTTATCCAGCCCAAACAGACCAAAACAACATGACAACACTCCGTGGATGTACAAGTCTTTCAAAGCTTTATCTTTCATCAGGTCTGCAAGTAAATTGGAAGGCCTTTCTGGCAGATGGAAAAAGTCCAGCTGACTCAAAACAAAGTGGTACCATTCCTCTGGAAACCTCTGTCTCATTTCAGTGATTTTGGAGGGAGGTACAGGGGCTGTTCTCCATTCTTCAGGGATGCTCAATAACTCTGAGTAAGAACAACTAAATTCAACCTGAGGTAGAACTTCTGGATGTTTCCCTCTGTCTACAGCAGGCAGCCCAAGCACCACAGTCCTGTATAATTTGTCTTCTGGTGACACTTCTTGTGGGAAGTCTTGGCTCTGCATTTCTACAGACCCTGGAATAGACAGATGCACTTTTGGTGTCAGTCCCAACTGCACAGGTTCTTTTCTGTCTTTCCTTCTGTCACTGGGTTCAAAATCAAAAATGTCACTTTCATCAGACCAGTCCTTGATTGTATCAACACTAAAGCTGTCTTCTTCCCTCAGAGCCCTGGATCTTCCCACTGCACCTCGGGGCTGATTTTCTGAAAATGATCCTTTCTTGTTCCTGTCAGCACTGTCTGGGCTTTCCCATGTCTTGGATTTTTTATAGCAATACTGGACAAGCATCCACACGAGGACTTTGATGAAATCATCTTTCAGGTGCTTTAAATTCTCATGAGAGTCAATTATTCCAGATAAGACATTTCTGGCATCGGAATACAGACGCACAGGTACCACTGTGCAGGGAGTCAGAATGTGTCCAAAATGGGCATTGGGAGAGAGAATCTTTGTGTGCTCCTGGGGTTCAAAGGCTGTTTCAAAAATTTCATCAACTCTGTGAGCTTCAGCAGCATGACAGGATGTTTCCTGCAGTTCAAGTCCCTAAAGCACACATGAAAACAACTTAATTTTAGTCTTCATCAGTACATATTCTTAAATGCCAGAAAGCTGTTTGTGGCAACAACATTTTTCTGAACTGTATGTTCCATTGTCAACATTTTCACAACAAATCTAACTAGAGGTAACAGTAAGAACAAAGCACTCATTGCAATTTTAGACACAGAACAATGTCTTAAATAAACCTTTGCCTCATGCAGCTCTTATCCAGCTTATTAAAGATACTATGTCACATGCCAGAGGATAAAATATTGCACATCTGCTACATGTGTCAGGGGCAGGACTAGTTAATATAACAGTAACACTCATCTTAAGAAGTAACTGTAACACCAGGTAAATCAGTTACATTGCTGAAATGTTACAAAATGTTTCCCTGATTTCCAAGCATTATCTCGGTGCTCAGCATGCACTTACCTTAATGTTAACACCACAGTAGGTGAAGCCTTTTTCCAGCACCAATATCCACATCAGTCTATCCTGAAAGCGGCACAAGTAATGTGATCCAGGCAGAGAGAGACCTAGACAAGAAAAAAATCCAAACAAAAACTATGCACTACTTTGGCATCAAAGTGATGAAAACCTTTTGTACATGTCCAGTAAAGAATTCAACTGCAAACAAAGTATTTCTGCATCGACATCACAACCAGTTAAAATTGGCTAAGTAGTACCTTAGAATCTTAAAGAAACTAGTTCCAAAGCTGGAGCTTGGAACTGTGGTGTTAGCTTGCTAAAAGCTGTGGAGAACAGAAATCTCACACAACTGCAAGACTATAATATTCACACTGGACCAGGGTTAAGCAACTCCACCCTCTATTCCCTTTGCAGAGATGACTCTCATAATTAAAGATCATCTTTGGCTGCATTTCCAACCACAGTTCCCACTGATGTTCTCTGGAGATCTAAAGAATCATGACAAAGCACATGAGTATCCTAATGGCCCAGTTTGCTGTGGAGTATGAAGTTTATTTGTTGTGGGAAAAATAAAAACGTAACTGAACAGTATTTGTTACCTCCAGCATCAGTTCCTAAATTGTTTGCATTCTAACATTAGCAGAAAGTCACAGAATGCCAGAACATCTTGGGTTGCAAAGGCCCTTAGGATCATCCAGTTCCAACCCCCTGCCATGGGCAGGGACACCTTCCACTAGCCCAGGTTGCTCCAAGCCCCATCCAGCCTGGCCTGGAACACTTCTAGGGATGGAACAGCCACAGATTCTCTGCCTCAGCACCCTCACAGGGAAGGATTTCTTCCTAATATCCTAAAATATCTTCTATATTTCTTCCTAAAATATCCCTTAGGATGTGAAACCCAGAGTGTAAATGATTCTGCCCCAGCATCAGCTTACCAGTGGCATAGTATCACACTCGTGTTACAGACACAGAGGCAGAGCAAGAGCACCTGCTCACCTTTAAAGATCTGCTGATCAGTAGCACACACAGTGAACACTAAGCGCAGGCACAGTGGAAATCATCTGTGGTTGTTCTGCAATACCTGTGTGTGTCTCTGCATAAATAAATCTGGTCCCACTGCTTTAAGTCTGACATCACCACAAACAGAGTCACACAAAACAAGCTGGAATTTGAAAATCAGGTCCTGAACAACTCCAGACTAATTAGTACTCAAAACCCCCCCACTCTGGGTCTCAGTGCAGAAATGAGATGACACTTATGTCCAGAAAAGGCACTTTTTATCTTCCCTGCCTATCTCCACAAAAAGAGCAAGGACAGATTTCCTGAGAACTGGTGGTTAGACTGTATTTAAATTACAGTCTAATGCCAACTTTGCTAACACAATGGTTCTATTCTTAAGCATGACATCTGCTGCCAGTTTCTGACCTGCTTCTACTGTCACTCATGCCCAGTGACCACTCACTTGCACAGAGAATTTTAGTTTTAGAATGCTGTAAGATGAAATCAGTGAAACCAACCATTAAGCTGTAGTTAAAATTTAAGTAACCTTTTTCTATCCCACTGAACTAATGAAGTGCATTTTCTTGCTAACATTTTGCAAAGATTTAATTCTTTTCCTGCTAGCTGTTAAAGCAACTAAAACTCCTTTACACAGAAGAAAAATGGGTTTAAATTAGTGACACACAAAGTGGTACTGCTTCATTTTGAACTCAGCTCAGAACATCACGTTTTTTCTTGCTTGAAAACATTCATTCACAGATTTTCCCATTAAAGAAGAGACTTTTTTCCCCCCTCAAGAATAGTCTTTTAAATCATTTATTCTGAGGCATAAATGCCATCACAGCCATGATGGCAATGGGGAGAAAAATCCTATTAAAAACATGTATAGATATAAAATAGATAGGTATAAGAGATAGAACAGAGAGATATATTATATAACATAAATATATCTATTGTATATATAAAACACAGATGGGCTGATGATGTAGACAAAATGAAGTGTCTCTCATTAGAGGCAAAACACTTCCTAGTTTTATTCAATACCTCTCTCTAACCAGTGTTACAGATGCACCAAATGTTTTCTAGTAAATCACTTGAAGACTGTCTTCAAAAAACATGATCATGGTTAACTTCCACTGCTTTCAAGTATTAGTCCATTTTTTTCTAGTCACAAGCCATTTTCTAAGAGGCTTATGTAAATATTTGCCTTTTGTCTAAGGGCAACAACCTTGTGATTATTTAGGTTACGCAAAGGCTGCTTCTCATGAAAAGGAGGATGCAATTTTAGCAGTTATCCTGTCTCCAGCTGGGAAAGAGACTCAGCCTTTTCATCACCTCTGTTTCTCTCACTCTGTCAACTCCCCACCACGATGCCTTTCTCAGGCTGCAAGCTCACAATTGCTGTTACAATCTGACCCTGACTGCATGAGCCATGACAAAGTCCTATCAACAGGTTCTGCTCTCAGCTGTTTACTGCAAGTTAGTCTGTCAAGTGTTCTACAAACATCCAGTCCATACTCATCATAACTAATTAACACAGCCAAATTAGCAAAGTCACCTTCTGGTTCCTAAGTAATGGGATTGATGCAGAGGAAGAGACACACAGAGCGAGAGAGAGGAGTTTGACACAAATCCTTCTCTCTGCTGCCTGGCAAGAGAACTCAATTCATTGCCTCAATTAGGTGGGATGAACACATTCCATCTGTTGGGTTCAGTATAAAAAGATTAGGATTGATACTGTTCTATCACCTTTTAATTTCTCCTTAAAGGTAACAAACCAGAGGGTTTTTTTTACAGGAATGTAATGAGACCATAGAATCGTTAAGGTTGGAAAAGACCTCCAAGATCATTGAATCCAACCTCTGACCAACACCACTATGTCCAGTAAAACCAGGGCACTAAGTGCCACATCTACTAATTTTTCGAACACTCCCAGGGATGGTAATTCCACCACTTCCCCAGGGAGACTGTTCCAATGCTTGACAAACTGTTCAGTGAAGAAACTTTTCTTAATACCCAATCTGCACCTCCCCTGGGCAACTTGAGGCCATTTCTCTTTGTCCTATAGAAGAAGGATAAAAGTCTCCACTTTTTCCTCAACTGAGGTTTAAACCAGATACCATAATTCTCCCATTCTCTAGCAAAATCCTTCCTAAAATACTCAGCTCCATAACCCCACAGTGCTGCTGTACCTACCCAGGCTTCCAGCTGCCAGTGCAGCCTGCAGAGCACCAGCCAGGCTGGGAAGCAGCTGCTGGTAATACACAGTGTCAGGGCAGACACAGGCTGTGGTGCCCACAGGCCCTGGCCAGCTCCGGACAGGCCTTGGGAAGCCAACCAGGAACACAGGCAGAGTGAAGAGAGGCAGCAAGGGAGAGGAAAGGAGGGCAGAGATGGCAATGAGGGTCAGCAGGATCGGGAAGAAAACGACGTTGAGAGTGATTAAGGTGGCAGTGGATTTCCGGCGCTGTTTTTTCTCTGTCCATGATGTCAGGAGAATTGCTGTGGCAAACTGCAGCTTGGACACAAACTGGAACAGTCGATCCCGCAGGAGCCCAACCTGTGAGACACAGACAACAAGCAGGTTACTTGTGGCCTGTACTATATTCAGCATTGCCAATGCTGCCTTAACTACAATAATTTTAAGAAAATGAAGTATGATTATCATTGATTGGTATTAGTGCATATTTTTGGTACAGTTTTTAGCTTCTATCTGCTAGGTCCTGGGCTCTGTAATTCTCTAACAGTGCAAGGAAACCAAGTAAGATTAGATATTAGGAAAATCTTTTTCGCTGTTAGGGTGTTCAGGCACTGGAATAGGTTGCCCAGGGAGGTGGTGGAATCACCATCCTTGGAAGTGTTTAAGAGGTGCCTGGATCTGGCACTGCAATATATTGTTTAGGGGTGACAGCACAGTGACAGGCTAACAGTTGGACTTGATCTTAAAAGGTCTCTTCCCGCCTTGATGATTCTATGACAGACTTCAAGTGGCAAGCTCGTGCTTACATTTACATTATGGCAATTACCAGCAAGAGTCTGATTCCTGTATCAAGGCTTCTGTTCCACCACAGGTCTGGATTAAACACCAACATCTGTATTACTGACACCACCACTATGTCCAGTAAGGCATTTTCTGTATTCTGCCAGACCTAAAACAGAGATATGTTAGACACACATTTAAAAATGCATCTATTCATCTCTGCTTTCGTGACCTGGAATATTTCTTCCAAGTCACCTTAATAAATCATGTAGAATAGAATTTCTTAGGCTAACAGATTTAAAATTCAAATTACCATCCTAAATATTCTTGTGAATCCAATGCAAACAGACACAGAATGAAGGTTTTGTAGTGAACGGTCTAGTGACAGGAACGCTATCATAGCAAACGGAGACACTGGAATTGAAATAAAACAATCATTGATTTCCTTTCCAAAACACAGTACAGCTCTACACAGGTAAGCAGTCTCATTGCAGAACGGAAATCTAAGTGCAAAAAGAGAACTCCTCCCTTCATTATCACAAACTCCTCTTTGTGTTACACTTCCAGGAGACTGAACAGTACTTGCACTAATGGCTCAGGACACAAACATTTACCTCGATGCTTAGTTCTTGCTGTTAGCACTTTTTGTCCTTTCTTTTGTTTTTCCAACAGAACAAAAATACTCATATAAGTAAAAATAAACATGGAATAGCAGTCATCAATCCACTCTCCAAAACTGTTGCTTCTTTATGAAATTAAATAACTGAAATCAAAATTTTACAAAGCAGATGCATTTGTCCCTAACCTACCAGAAAGGAAGCTGTTCCCTTTCCTAGCAAGTTGAAAGAACCAAATTTTTAGTCAGCTTGAAGAATCTCAACTCACTTTGTTTCCAAGCACCTGTTAAAAAAAAAAAATCTACAAGAATAATTTTTTTCAAAAGTGAGCTAGAAGTTATAATGAAAGCCCCTTAAAAGTCCTTTGCTTTCTGAGCTGGGCTTTTAAAAGCTCAACTTCTTAGGTTCACCTCTAAAATAGAAACACATGAATTCACTTTCAAATACTCTGAACCAGTAACCTTGACTTAAATGCACAATTTATCAAGACATTAACAAGCATTTCCAGCTACTGGATTTTTTGAGTTTCATTTAATTTTGTTTTTCTTAGCTCATTCACAGAATCTTGCACACAGTAATCCTAGATTTGTTTCAATCTCCCTACAAGCATCATCTAACAAACAACAGACAGTGTGTATTCCTACCTAGTGTTAGTAAAATCCTCCTGACAACACCAACTTTCATTAGCCTTCTTTGCTTCTCCATGAACACAGTCACAGTCCTGACATCCTTGGGATAAAAGGGGTTTCGGAAGACTCCAAACAAGTACACTCTCTGAATCTCTCTAAGAATCCACACAATTACAAGTAACAGGATCAGAATGTAACTTGCTATGGCCTGAGGACTGGTTCGGGCAAATGAGGCCGAGCCTGCGAAGTGCTGCAGCAGACTCACTTCTAGGAAGGCAAACACCAGCACAGTCAAATAGAAAATAAATTGGTTCCACCCAAATTGCATCCTAAGACCTCTGTGCATATTTTTAGCTTTGCTGGAGGCTAAGTGGCTGATCATGGTGTGCTTGAAGGCAAAACCAATCTCGCTTAGGTTAAGACTCAGTATGAACCCAAATCCAGTCATGAAGAGGATCACACCGAGAGTGCTGGGAATGAAATACGGTGCTATTGCTGTTCCAGCAGAAATGAGAAACATTACTAACAACCTGTGAAGGAGAAAATAAAAAAGATTTGCTTGAAAAGAAAAAGGTTGTAAACAATACTGATACATTTTACAATCATATAAACAACATTTACTTTGTGTTACTTGACATAGGTGAACCTCCTAGTCCAAACTCCAAGAGTTGTTCCATTCCCCACAGAACAAGTGCATCGAGCGGGGGCAGAATTCCCATTGCCCACAAGAATGGCAGAAAAAGAAATAGGATGTGCAAAATCTGGTTTGTCTGTTCTAGAATGGGTGCGTTGACAGCAAACCTGGATAAAAGAAGAAACGGATTTGATTTCTGAGAAGGAAAAGATAACTGATATGTGGGAAGACTTTTCTTTAACCACGACAGCAAATCCCAAAGTAAATACATTACGTATTACATACAAGCCTCAACTGGAGTGTTTTAACAGGAAAAACAAGGCCATACATTTATGCCTGGGGCAGGAACACATTAACTAGAACACCAGGACACAGGCTCATTTTCCATTTAAAGGATTTGAAGCCTTCAGATTATTCAGATTCATTCAGCGATTCAATTACTCTAATTGCTGTGATACTGTTGTGATAATACACTCAAGAAATAGTTGTGCAAAACCTCAGGTCCAAAGACTCCAAGACCTTCATTGTTTAACAGAAAAATGCAAAGTATTTTTTCAGAATCACCAAAGCAAAACCTTACACAAGCCCAAGACCCAAGAGGTAAGGCTGGAAGAACTGGCCTGTTGCCTGTACACAGAGATAAACTCTCTCTAGGAATATAAAATATTAGTTCCTACATAAACGTGTCAAAATCTTTCTGTAAAAATGCAAATATTAGTATCAGAAACCTGAACAAATTCTAAGTGATACACAGTTCACCAGCTAATTCAGTTGAAGGTGGACTGCCAAGATGTTTGGTTTCGAAAGAATTTTGTCAGGAATGTCTCAATTTCCCCCTCAGAAAATTGAATAGAACAATTTGGAGTCCAACACTATGTGTATAACTCTTGTATCATAATTAAAGAGGCAACGAGGGCAAATCATTAACAAAGACATCTCCAAGTGCAAAACTAGTAAAATCAAACATGCTTTTTTTTTAATGCATTTGCAGTAACCCAACTATAAAATATGTACATGTGACAAAGTGATATGAATATCACCAGACAGGGAGAAGGAATGCACAGAGCAAATCTAACAGCATCTTGCTTTAACAGGTTCTACAAATACTTCAGCTAAGAAACTCATCTGAAAAACAGAAATCTAAGTCTCCTAATTGTAGAATGACAAAAGCTCTTTTGTATTACAGAAACATTTAAAAATCCAAGTTCAAAACCCACATAACAAAGATACAGCAATATCCACATTTGCTTGTTCATTCATTAAAACCAATTCAGAGTCTTTTTTTTTTTTCCCTGATGTTTCAAACCCTTTGCAAACAACTTTGCAGAGAATAAAATGGAAAATACTCCAGGATGAAACCTGGACATACATCCAGCACTCCTGGAGCCTGCAGTGTTTAGATCTCTGATTCCAGGTCAGGAACATGTGTTTTCAAAACACATCCTTTAAGAGGGCAGTGATGCAAATGCTCTGGTACAAAAATACTGAAATGACATGGCAGGAGATAATTTTAGCTGTCCCTCACTTACAAACTGCTCTGGACTGCTCTAATTTACAGGGAATGCTATAAAAATTTAGGAACATTATTTTATACACAGCTCAGTCTCAATTTTAACCACATACTCTTCTAGCTGCTTTCTCTGAAGTTCCTACAGTTGATTAAAATCTCAAAACAAAATTTTCCTCAGAATAATTTTATCTTTCTCATCCAAAAGACATTTAATAACCATCACTTTAATTAGCTAAACACGTTATTAGGTTTACCTGTGTGCAAGATCCACTGCAATAAAGACAAATATGTAGAAAGGTCTCATCAGAGCAGTGATTTCATAGGGATCCAGTGCTTGGAACGTGGCTGTTTCTGTGGCTGTGTTTATGATCAGTGAATACTCTCCTATACATACTGTGACCCATCCAAAGACAAAGATCACAACAGTTCCTCCAATGTTGCCATATAACAAGGTAATTCTGTTTGGCAGCAAATACCAAGTTCCCAGCCCACACAACACCCCTGCCAGAAGGGAATGAAATACAGTGTTGATTATATACTTCTTGCCAGGAATAATAAATTTTACTGTCTCTGAACCTATACAGCTGGAAAATTCAAACTCATCTTCATCTGTCAGGGTACTCTGAATTTGCATTCTTTCTACTGTCACTGTTTTCTGCTTGGCATACAGATTTGTCACCTGGAGAGCAAGTGCAGTGACAAACATCAGTCCTCCCGACAGCGCTGCGGTGCAGTAGTCCTTCATAATGCCTAACTGGTACAACAGTGTTCCTACTCCTCCCAACACCCATGGAGTCAGGAAAAGAATGATCTGGTTCACATAAATGTAAGGAGGGGCACAATAGCCTAATTTAAAGCGAGGACCTCCCAGCAGAGTCTGAGGGAAGCGCTTCAAGAAGAACTCCTGCTTGTAATCATTGAGCAGAGGGACATCTGGCCCCATCCTCACGGCTCACAAGTGTCAGCTCAGTGTCATCTTTCCTGTGAGACAACAGACAAAAAGGAGGAAACATTACTGACTCTGGAAGTCAGAACCCAGGGAATCCTTTTCTCCTGTTTTTATTTGCCCAGGTACAGTGGAATCCTGACACATCAGTGTTAGAACCTGCTAGAATACAACTATGAAGCAAACACCTTTAAGGCTCTTTTATCTGAAGCTTTAGGAAACAATAAATGTTATGTATATAAATAAATAATCTGTTCCTGAGAGATGATAAAATCAACTCATCTCCACACCAGAACAACTTCCTAAACCTGGTATTTTTTTCCACCCAGTCTGATTCCAGTCCCAGCTGGCCACAGACCTCTTAATTCCTCAAAACCCTGCTAAGGATCTCTGTACACAGTCACTGATTTCAGTGAACAGCCACACAAGTGCAAGGACGCAGTCACACAGAGCTCCCTGCAAAAATCAAAGCCTTATGTAATAAACTACATGTAAGAAAATATTAGTAGAACCATTAAAAATTGTTTTCCACGTCAGCATTGTTACTGTCCTCCCTACACAGCTCAGCTGCAGAGCAGGATCTCACTGTAATGAGCACTACACTAAAACAAACAGGTCACTTTCTGCTTCCTAAAATAGCGAACATTAAAAAAATAAACAATACTTGTGAGCTGTGGCAGAATCAGCACATGTTCTTCTGTAGGACAATGGACAACGCTGAAAGAAAAGGAAAACAAGATACCTGTAAACATTGACAATAAAGCACCAGATAGAAAGCAGCTATGAATACTCTTTCAGGGAGGATCAGGCAATGTAAAAATAATGAATGCAAAGTGGTAACTATGATATTCAAATCTAATTCAACACTACCAGTCACGAAAGCAAGAATCCATGAATGACAGGCAGAAGTGCTCAAGCTAAGAAAAGCCAGCACAGAAATGCATTAATAATAGCTCCAAAAAGAGATGTTGGTTGTGCATTAGGAGCTGTGCAGGTACTGAAATTCTGGCTCCCTTCCCCTGGACCTGCACAATCTGATGAACACCTTTTGCCATCACTGCTGATGCATTAAAAATGAAACACTGCTAGAATTCCCAAACTATTCTAGGCCCTTCTTCCTACAGTACCAAACACTTGTGGGCCCTTCTAAGAACAGTTCAGACCTTGTATTTACCCAGGTATCAACCACTTGGCTGTAGGGAATGAAGTTAGAAACAGTGCAGTGAGAGAGAGTAAAGGTCACTCATATGCATTATCAGGACTGGAAATTTGCATTCTGGGTCCACTAAGTCAACACACTGACAGGGAAAAGCAGGTCCCCACAGGACCTATTACTATCTACACTTAGGGTGTGGAATTCCAACTTTTTAATATAAAATACTGAAAACACAAAGGCTTTTTGGTCATCAAATTTCAGGCCACTGAAAGTTTTTGAAGGGAAGGAGAAGGCAGTAGTGAGTCCCAATGGAAAAGACACATGTTGACAATGGAGAGGGGAATTCACCACAGTCAGCTCAGGAATTGGAAGATGTAACAGTGACACACCCAACTGAAAACAAATTTCCAATGTAATTTAAAAAAATACCACCTTCAGCCAATCTTGTTTGGAAAAATAAGCACTGTCCAGAGGGTACCTGGGCATGAAACCAAGTTGCTGCAAAAGTTAGATGCAGTAGAGGATTTACAGGCACATAAATGATAGAAATTGAGTTTTAAAAGCAATGTGGAACCAATAGGTGCATAGTTTTCCTTGGAAAACAGCTTTTTGGACAGCTGTGTTTTCCTGCTCTAAGAAGGGCTATTTTTGTTTCAAGTTCCAGTCTGGGTTTGTGTTTTTGACAGTTTATATTGCTCACCAAATGTTAACCAAACGTTCCTCTTACAGTTTCTGTGTAAACAATAGGCATCTTTGTGTGAGACACCAAAATCTACACACACAAACAATACAGTTCTCCTTGGCCCTACCCCAAACGAGCTATAAAATGGTATCAATTTATTTGTAAATGAAAATCCCCAGGCTGGAGCTGACAAAGTATGGAAACACTACTCCTGACTGGCTGCCAAACACTCAGGTGTAGCACATGAGGACTTCAAAGAGGGACTCTGTGTCTCCTTACCCCTAGCAACAGGACTCTACACACCAGCGAGTGTTTACAGGACCTGGCTTCAATAGACATTCCTGGCACACAGGCCTGGCCCCACTTTGACACCTTGCCTGGTTACCCAAACAATTCACACCACAACAGTCTGTCAGCACCAGCAGGACCCACAGGGCTTGGACACTGGGATGGCAAAAGGGCTTTAATGCCATAAAGTTACTGAACAAGTTCCCCCTGCAATATCCTCTCTGCATCTTGATTACAGAAGGAAACACAGCAACTTGTGCTCAAATCCAGGCAGGATTTCACAGGAGGTCTAAATGAACATGGAATTTTAGGGGTTGGAATGGACCTTACAGATCATCTAGCCTCAACTCCCTGCCCTGGGCAGGGACACTTCCTTCGAGTCTACTCGTGGTGGGTCAGCTCAGTCTGGTTTTATTTCCAGCAGATTCCAGGAGAGCACATGGACAGTTCTCAGCCAGCTAAGCACATAAGGCTTACAAATATTTACCTCGGTGGTCTCCCAGGGGTTTTAATGGGAGAGTAACTAACCATTACAACCCCCCTGCCAGCACAGGGGGAGGTGCAGGGGAGGCTGTGGCATCCCCTGCCTGGGCAAAGCCAGGTGCATCCAACCCACCTTGGTCACCTGTATCCCTGCTCCACGGTTAGACACTCAGTCCTGCTGCAGGACAGCTCCCAGCCAGGAGCCAGAGGCCAGGGATGCTCAGTCTCACTGACTGGGATCGTTTTAGGATAACACTCCATCCAGCCACGGGATGAGCATCCCAACACCTTGGGGAAGGGTCAAAGCCACCTCCTCCCGAGGCAGCTGAGCCCCCACACTCCTCCCAGCTCACCCTCACTGCTCCACAGCAACACGAACCCCAGCACCGAGCCAGGCAC